GCACACGCACACACATGGACACGCCCACACACACACACACACACACACACACACACACACACACGCAGCCTTGTACGTGTGAGGCATAGTAAAAGATTAGCTGTTGCCCCGAAGAAATCCCAGCTAAACACAGTTCTAAACGGTTCTATTATGATTCATGTTGCTTGCTAAAGAGGTGATATTCCTTAATTGTTGGGCTGACTCAACTCGAATCTACACGTTTGGGTGGAATAGGGGCTGTTGTGGTGGAAATTTAAGCCACACAAACACACACAGTACAAGGGGAGCTGTGAGAAAAAATAAAAGGGGTACCCCGAAGAAAGCCAACCTAAAGATACTAAAAGATAGTCAAGAAAGGGATATGACGGATCTATTGTGCTCGCTGTTGCTTGCTATAGAGGTAAAACTGTTTCATTTTTAGTATGCTTCATTGTCTGCAGTAGAGGTAAAGCTGCTTTGATTTTGGATGTACTCGTCTGGGCGGAACAGGGGCTGTTGTGGTGAAAATCTACAACACAAACACACATATAGCGTGCTTCTATGTTGGCTCTTCCTTAGACGCTGCATTGTGATTGTGGTGGTTGCTCTTTTTCAACAGGTTCTTTCGCTGGTCGAAGCGGATGGCAAGGGCGACTTGCTTGATGTTGATAGCCAGAACCAGGTTGAGAGCAGTGATACTTTCCCGGGCGCGTCAAATCGAACGTACTTGGACGATGTGGGTATCATCTCCACCTCATTCCCCTCTGCGCCACCATCCGGGTTCGAACTCCGCAACATAGCGCAAAACCCCAAAACAGGAGTGATAACCTTAGACATAGTGTATGACGGAACGAAGCCTTTAGCATCGAAACTGCACCCTGCTCAGAAGAAACCGGAGAAGGTCTGCCCGAAGAATATGGAGCTTCTTTCGGAGATCTATGCGGAGATCCCGGCAAGCGATCCGACGGGCATGCTGACAAAGATGAAGCTCAAGACTGTGGGCTTTGTGACAGAACTAGAGGTGGAAGCCGACATTTCACACCCTCATCCTGGGGATTTGCGGATCGAGATCGTCTCTCCTGATGGTATATCGGCTGTTGTCTTCAACGGGTTAGTCGACGGTGATACTCTGTTGCCAACGCCGATGCAGCCAGAGGTCATCACAGGCACTTTCAAGGTCCAAGCCAATTCCAAGTCGATGCCCACCATGAAACCGCTGATCGGTGTGCAAAGCCGCGGTCAGTGGGCTCTCCGTGCCATCAACCTATCTCCCAACCAAGGAGCCATCCTCCAATCATGGCGATTAATGGTCACAGCGTCCCCGCAGTCTAAGGTTGTGCAACAATCGGCGTCCCCGCGGCAATGGATCAAGGATGCAAATGGGGTGGGAAGCACAATCGAGGTGAGGGAGATCGGGTGCGTGAAGTCGGTAAAAGTGAAGCTTACGATCAGCCACAAGGCAGCTGCCCAAATCCATGCCAGTCTGGTGGCGCCGTCGGGTGAGCTGGCACACCTATGTCCCAACGGTATGACGGGCGGCAAGAAGGGTACCGTCACCGTCTCTCTCGACTCCGTTCACTCGGTGGAACTTTTCCCTTTAGTCGGAAGTAATGCGAACGGGAAGTGGCTTGTTCTCGTGACGGACGAAGTGGGAAAGGGTACCAGCTGCTTGGACTCTTGGAGCCTTCAGCTGGAGACTGTCCCGCCAACAATCGCCCACTAAAAGCCGATCGCGTCGATCCATAAATGAACGGATAGACGCATTCGTCTGCGTCTATAGAAGCTTCAACCGACCGAAAAAGGGGGTAGGGTTACCACAGTGCTACCACTCTGTACATTGCATCGCATGCATACCTTGATGCTATTCCCCTAGTGATTTGAGATTTGTCCTAGTTCCTTTGGGGGAGGACGAGACGCCCCTTTGCATTCCCCTGCCTCCCCTTATTCACTGTGCGACGGAGAAGTTGGGCATGATGTTCCGACACCGAAGCAGATTGTCATCAGCCATGCAGCATCATGCTCTTGACGATGATGATGATACATGTTGGAAGGCCTCTGCAACCTTCAGGAATGAACCCACCCCTTTTTTCAGGAATGGACCCACCCCTATGGTCCAACATTTTGCTAGAAATAGAAAGAAGAGGGGTCCAATAGAAATAGAACTTGGCCCTATGTTCAGGAAAGGACCCACCCCCACTGTCGAACAGTGTGCTAGAAATAGAAAGAGGGATTGGACCATAGGGGTGGGTCCAAACTTGAAAGTTGTGCTAGAGATAGAAAGAAGAGGAGAGCGATTGGATGACGAACGCTGCTGGTTATGCAGTAAACATCGTCTTGATTGTACATGTTGTAACTGCATCTCCATGTTGACGGATGGATGGAGAACGAGAGGAGAATGTCGCGCAGTCAGTCTGACAGAAGAGAAGCAACGATGGGAAAGGTTTGTCCAAAAGTGAGGAGCATGATTATCAAGGGAGGGACAAGTCTTTAGGAGGAGGTCTACATGATGGATGACATCCAAGAGGCACCAGACTAGGCTTCTCGCGACTTCGCATGCGCTTGAGTAGAGTTTACCCCCGCTCGTTTACTCTTCAGGATGTGTGAATGTGCTGCATGTAGAGATGCCCAGATGTAATTGTGTACCTGGGTGCTCTCCATGAGCACTGTAATTTTTGGCAGCATTTTGTTCAGCTGGTTAAGTTAAGCTGAAGCAGCAACAGCAGATTAAGCAGCAGCAGCAGCAGCAGTAGTAGTATCGGCAGCTCATATCGATGGAGTCGCTTGGGAAGTGATTCAATTGTCATTTTTGAATTATCAATAACAGGGAGTTAGTATGCTGATGTTTAGTGGCATGGGGACATAGTAGTGACATGCTTGCAGTTTTCAGATGCGATGCGAAACTTTCTGTCGTAAGAGAGGCGAAGTTTTCTGTCGCAAGGACTCCGACGAGGGGCGAAATTTTCCGGCGTTAAGGACTTGTAACATCTTTCGGACACATGACGGACAGCGATTATATCGACGAAGAATTGAATCGCACGAAAAGTTGCGTTCTTGCGCGCATGTACTTTGCTCGCCGCTCGGTGGATCGGTGCATTCGGGAGTATGCTGCATCACTAGAAAAGAACCCAGACTGCTTTTTTTTTGTTTTGCTGAACGGAGGAATCTTGGAGCGAGTGCACAGCGAAAAGGAACAGCATGTGGAGTTCGCTTGCCCTTTTTTTTTTTTCTTTTTTTTTTTGAATGTTTATGAGAACTAATCTCTATTATATGCTCCATATTATGCACAGACGGAAAAGGACGTCGGAGAAAGTCGCCTTGGAACTGTCTATGTTTGGAGCTCACAGTTTGATCACCTGAGGCAAGTAGTAGAGAGACAGCATGCGTTAGTTGCGCTCGCGCATACGTCGACAGACAGGCAAGTTTCTCGTTCGGAGAGAGTGGAGATACACACAAGTTGGAGGCTTGATAACGCCGAGAGGCGTGCAAATCGTAGGCTAAATGTGTGGTGATTCGAAGAAAAGAATCTCTTCAGAAGCAGATTTATACTTGCTCACGAAGAACGAGCGGCGGATATACCGGAGGAGTTGCTTGCTCGGCAATTGGAAGAGATACACATATTACTATGCAAGTTGGACGGTAAGTGCATGGCAATAACCACAAGTCAAAAATCGCTTGAGAAGCACCGGATACGGACGTCGGACGCGCCTCTGTGGTTTGCTCCATGAGTGGGACATTCATACAATCTCTTCGTACGAATGTATCGGCAACGCAATGCATACAACTTACTCTTCATCTTAGAGGATGCCGGTGCTGGATGCGACGAGGCGCTAGAGTACTCTTCTGTTGCTCGCTGCATACAGCTTGCTCTTCGGCTTACAAGATGCTTAAAGTACTCTGCTGGATGTAAGGCGCTAAAGTACTCTTCTGTCGCAAGGCGCTCGCTAGAGTACTCTTCTGTCGCAAGGCTTGCAAGGCGCTAGAGTACTCTTCTGTCACTTGCTCTTCGGCTTACAAGATGCTTAAAGTACTTTGCTGGATGTAAGGCGCTAAAGTACTCTTCTGTCGCAAGGCACCAATGATGCCGCAAGTCTTCCTGCCACAAAGGGCACTCGAGGAAACTTGCTGCTTGCTATTTGAGTGTCTTCCTTTGCGATTTGTGTGGGATTTGTGGCCTCCATCGCGACCAAATTCACTCCTTCATACAAGACGAAAAAGAAAGTGAGGCGCTGAAGTACTCTTCTGTCGCAAGCCACCGCCAGGTATGCACGTGCATCGCATCACAAGTGGAGAGAGAAATGCTGATGCTGGTTACTCCTTTGATAAGCCGCCGCAACGCACCGTGGACCTAATCATGACCCATCAGCAATGATGCATGCAACTGGGTCCCCTCTCAGGGAACGTTGAGTGAAATGCGATGTTGTTGGCCTGACACCCTTTTTCTGGGCAGGGAATCTGCACCGCCCCCGATGGAATGGGACTGCGTGCATATGCTGCAGGGTAGTCGGCTCCTGCCATGTGCTCTGTGTGTGATAAGGAATGTGACCGTGCTGACGGAATGTAGAAGGAACGAAGTTGAAGGTAATCATTTGCGAAGGAAGTGCGCGATGACGAAAAGACAGACTTGTGTGTGCACCTGACGAAAAGACAGACTTGCACGGAAGCTTCTCGTGCTTGCGGAGTGTGGTTTCGTTGAGCAAATTGACAAACAAGTCGGGAGCCACGTATACCAGGTACTCGCCTGGAAAGCGGTGACGCTTTGTGCTTATACAAGTCGTTTGTGTAAGATGCGAACCCATTATGCTCGTCTGCTTACTTAAGGGACGGTCGTCGCGCATGAGACGGACACGACTTATTTCATGCATGGTGCTTGATCATCAAATTACAACACCAGGAAGATCGAAGCTGACCGTGCTTTGTATATCATCGAGCGACGAGCACACAGTTATTCCTCTTGGACGAGAAAGAAGGGCGGGGGTGGGGGGGGGGGAACATAAGCTCCTTCCTCTAGAAAGGGGCATACTGACACAACTTGCTTGCTTGATTACGGGGGAGGGGGGGACATAAGCTCCTTCCTCGAGGAATGGGCACAGTCACGACACAACTCGCTTGCTTGATAGATGGACACATTTCGTGGAATCCAAGCATTGAATGTCATTGTAGATGCAAACACGCTCCTTTCTTCATCAACAAACGACCATATACTTTTTTTTTTTTTTTACTCACAACCCTTGCATGGTCGATAAACGGACGCATTTCACGGATTTCAAGGAAAATAATAAAATATCAGTGTGGAATCTGTGGATGCAAGATGCAGTTCACTCAAGAAATGCCACTGTAGATGCAAATAATCCCTGAAAGTTAATTGCAAAAGAAAGAACAAAGCTTTTGAAAAAAATAAAAAATAAAAAAAAAATGAAGGAGAGAAGATGTGCATGTGCAAGTTACAGCCGTGAGGGAGGGATAAGCATACACACGACATGCTCGAATGACAAGTGTGATGCATTCGTGGCCCTTGCGCACAACAATCAGCTTTGTCCGCTATGCGAAGGGGACATTAAGACATACGACATGTCCGACAACTGCAAACGTGCAATTGCTCCTCTGATAAAACGTTATGTTGCTCGCATAACGACGTGTCCCACAAATGGGCGATAACGTTTTGTATATTCATTCGACAGCGCGATCTGTGTGCTGCGACTATGAGTGTAGTCTTGTGGCTACGAGTGTGGTGTATCTGAATCTCTCTGCACTCTTTTTTTTTTTTAATTCTATCTGCGCTCTCACAACTGGAGTAGTGCGATTTTTTTTTCCCCTTTTATGGATGTTATCAATGTCCTTTTTCAGGCAATGGGATCTGCTTCTGGCTTATGGACGTTCTTTTGCTTGTCAAGCTCGCCCATGGACAGCTTCATGCTCGTGCAGATGCATTCTTGCTGCTGCCTCTCTTATGCCTTCTCCTCCTTATGTGCCCCCCCTCCTTATGTGTCCCCCCTCCTTATGCCCCTCCCCCCCCCCCCCCCCCCCCCCCCCCCCCCCCCCCCCCCCCCGCCTCCCCCCTCCATTAACGGCCCCTCAACGAGTTGCAGAACAAGCTGACGCATGCTTTATCGGCAACCAAGGAATTCATCTTTTTACTAGTTTTTAGACTTTTTTTTTTTACCCTTTTTTTTTAATCTGTTATCTGAAGGATCTGATCATGCAACTACTGATGGTTTTGGCGAAGATTCTGTGAAACTTGCTTGCCATCGTGGAAGGGGCGATGTAGCCATGAGGGTACTTCTTTTTTTTCTGAAAAGAGAACAAATTTTAAGCCTGAACGGAAAACGAAAAAAAAAATGAGGGAATTCAGAGAAAGGGGGAAGGGAAAAAAAAAACATGGTTACAATCCGGACGTCAGGAACCCTGTCCAGACCGTCTGGGTGCTGATGTTTGGCCGTACGTCCAATCCACTCTGTCTGGAAGCCTCGGAAAGGGGGAAAATTGCAGATTCCCCCCCCCCCCCCCCCCCAGGTGGTTCAAGGCCGACCCACCAAAATGTTTTGGCCTGTTCTCTGACCCCTTTAGGTTCGTCAAACAGGGCTGGGATGTGATGAAATTCTGAATGCTTTTTTTGTTTTGTTTTTTTCTGAGCGAGAGAGAGAGGGAGAGAGACAGCCATACAGACACACACACACACACACACGCACACACACACACACACACACACACAAACATAATTTTTTTTTTAAGTGTTGGGCGGACTCAGTCCGGTTCTACTCATCTGGTTGGAATAGGGGTTGTTGTGGGGGAAGCTTATAACACACACACACACACCACACACACACACACCACACACACACACACACACA